CACATTTTAAATTAAGCTTTTTGTAGTAGTAAAATCAAGAGAGAGATAAGTACAATATTCAGTTTTGTTTAGCTCTATGCACAAGTCCTGAATGTAGGCAAAGAGGAGATCTGCATGACATGCTCCATTAATGTTTTTGTTGAACATGTATGTTTTCATATACCTTTCAAAGAGCAGCTTCTATGCATCTGAACTTTTGGGAGGTCATATTGGCTACAAAATCTAAGTTTTTTCCTAATTAACAGACTACCTTCAAATTCTATACAACCAGCACCCCAATACTGCCAAGAGTGTGCCCCCAGTAACCCCACTGGAACATTTCCTTCAAGGAAACTAACTTATCTCCATCCATCTATTTCAAGGTTTGTGCTAAGTTTGGCTATTGATTGCTTTGGACTCTGGTTATGAAAGATGTAATGGGAACTTTCAGGAAAAGCTATTCAGAAGGTAGGAGGGAGGCAGGCCATATAGCAAAATCTGAACCAGTGAGGAGGATTAGGTAAATTCTCTGTAGTCCCAACGTAGGCCCTCAGGGGCTAGGAAAGATGGCCACCTAGTGGTGTTTGAGCAGAAGTCAGTTAAATGTGTCCACAAGTTCACGTAGCTCCTGAGTAAGGTACAGTGAGAAACTTACTCAAAGGGTATGCCGTAAGGGTGCATAACCATATTTAGTGGAAAAGGAACTTCCAGATTTAATTCAGTGGCATCATACAAGCAATTACTCATACCTACATTTGTAGTCCCCAGGTCTTGAATATGCGATGCCTAGAAACACAATATACCTTTTACAGATGTCACTCAGATACGTTTTCTATATTTGGTAACAATTAGGTTATTAATTGGAAAGTTCATGGTACTATTTCTAGTGAGTATAGAAAAGCAAGTAGCAGCAATGTCTAGAATTTTAAGGAAGGCTTTCCACTCTTCCTCTAGGGCTTCATGATGACTCTCAATGGGAACACAGACATTGGCATAAGAGAAATTTTTTTCTGATATGATGGCATTAACCTACAAACCCAACAATTGCTCTCATTTCTTTCTAGGGCATAAGCTTTTGATAAAGCCACCCACAGATTATTGTCCCATGAATTTTCCTTTAAGGAAAAGGAAGGGGTTTATACAGCAGAAAACTAGGGGGAAAGGGGAGAAATAAGGCTTTCATGATGACAGAGAAATCTTAACCCATGATCTTAGGAAAGTGTCTACATCTAGGATATCATCTGCTTCAGGGGAAAAATTTCTCTGGTCATCTTTACCTTAAGGTCTCCAACAAGTGTGCACCAGGAGTCTGGAGGAGCCCTTCTTAGTAAAAAAAGCTGTGAATACAAGACACAAGACCCTGAGGTTTTGCTGCAGAGCAGAACTTAGTATAGTCCCTATCAAGGGGAGTCTTCCTCTGGTATCATTTCCAAAAGACCCAACCTCATTGTTCTAAATCATGAAAAGTCTGATTTTCATCAGTTTATGAGTTGCAAAGGGCTTTTCTTACCTAGTGAAAATATGCTTTGGCATAATGCATCAAAGCATGACACTACTGAGTCATGTCAGAGTTTACAAAAGCAGCAGATCCATAGGTTTTATTATTAATGGAATAAGCCTTGAAGTAACTATTTCATAATTTCAAATATTTAATTTTGTAAGCAGTCAACCTAGATTTCTAGTGAGAATCAGTGTGATTACCATTAGTTGATAATACCTTTGACTAAGGCAATCCAATCAATGCAGTTAGCTTTGCCTAATGCCATTGTATTTATAATATCTTATTTAACTGTTTTACAACTTGTCCAGTGAAATTGAGAGGTGAAGCTGGCTGGGCTTCTGGGTCAGGTGGGGACTTGGAGAACTTTCCTGTCTAGCTAAAGGATTGTAAGCACACCAATCAGCACTCTATGTCTAACTAAAAGGTTGTAAATGCACCAATCAGCACTCTGTGTCTAGCTAAAGGTTTGTAAATGCACCAATCAGCACTCTGTGAAAATGGACCAATCAGCAGGATGTGGGCAGGGCCAAATAAGGGACTAAAAGCTGGCCACCCCAGCCAGCAGCGGCAACCCACTTGGGTCCCCTTCCACGCCATGGAAGCTTTGTTCTTTCGCTCTTCACAATAAATCTTGCTGCTGCTCACTCTTTGGGTCTGCACTACTTTTATGAGCTGTAACACTCACTGCGAGGGTCTGCAGCTTCATTCCTGAAGTCAGCAAGACTATGAACCCACCGGGAGGAACAAACAACTCTGGACACACCATCTTTAAAAGCTGTAACACTCATAGTGAGGGTCTGTGGCTTCATTCTTGAAGTCAGGGAGACCAACAACGCACCGGAAGGAACCAATTCTGGACACAAAATGAGTACCTCTATCACTGAAGATTTCTCTAGGAATGAATGATAAAGGAAACGCTTTTTTTTCTCTTTTTTTTTTTTTTTTTTTTTTTTTTTGAGACAGAGTCTCACTCTGTCACCAGGCTGGAGTGCAGTGGTGTGATCTCAGCTCACTGCAACCTCCGACTCCCTGGTTCAAGCAATTCTCTTGCCTCAGCCTCCTGAGTAGCTGGGATTACAGGCACATGCCACTGCACCCAGCTAATTTTTGTATTTTTAGTAGAGACGGGGTTTCACCATGTTGGCTAGGATGGTCTAGATCTCCTGACCTCGTGATCTGCCTGCCTCAGTCTCCCAACATGCTGGGATTACAGGTGTGAGCCACTGTGCCCAGCCAAGGGAAACACATTTTCTAATAAAGTTAGCTATTATTATGGCATCAACCTTCCTGCATGGGACAGCTTTTATACAACCAGAAAACATGCATTTAATGTGTCACTTGAAGGAACTCCATTTGTAAGTGTTCAAATGATCCAGCACGTGTGTATCACCTGAAGTTTTTATTTTCTTATCAGATCTATGAGTTTGACAATTTATAACCAAAGTTGGTTATAAATTTTAGCAATTTTAAAAGAGTCATCCCATCAATATTTTTTCATAATTTGAATCATTTTATCTCTTCTTTCACAATGAATATGGAATGCAGAACTCTTAATAATGGAAGCTTTAAGGACTCAAGAAGGACCAAGCAGCTGTCCAGACTCTTCATGAGTCCATGCTTAATATTGCATTTACTTCTTTTTAAATACCAATTTTGTTTCTCCAATTCAGGTGAATAGCACTGCTCATTAAATGGGTTATCATTGGTAATATAACAGTGATCAATCTTTTAAAGTTTATTCAAATCGCATATCTTAACAATTTTAGTACTGGCTGACTTAGCATAAAAGTCTGCCAAATCATTTCACTGATATCTAATTAATTCTTGTCCTGACATATGTTGGGTTCACAGTTTTATGAACCAGTCAATTTTTTTCATTAGATTTGTACCCAGTCCAATGGTATGATCTTAAAGTTATCAGAAACCTGTATTTGTCAGCGTCTTTTTCATGAATCTTCTTGAAGATGAAACACTTCAGGCTTATAGTTGCCCAGGAAAGTACCATAGTAAATAATTAACCATCTGTGAATGACAAGACTTAAAATTGCCATGGTCAAAAACCTGATGAGACCAGGCATGGTGGCACATGCCTCTAATCCCAGCACCTTGGAAGGCTGAGGCAGGATGGTTGCTTGAGCCTAGGAGTTCAAGACCAGCCTGAGCAACATAGAGAGACCCTGTCTCTACAAAGAATAAAATAATTAGCCAGGTGTGGTGGTGCATAGTAGTCCAGCTACTTGGGAGACTGAGGTAGGAGGATTGCTTGAGCCCAAAAGCCCAAGGCTTCAGTGAGCCATGATCATGCTACTGCACTCCAGTCTGTGTGACAGAGTGAGACTCTGCCTCCAAAAAAAGAAAAGAAAAGAAAAAGAAAAAGACCTAATGAAAATTCACTACAATAATGATGGAATTGATAAGGAAATGAAGTTACTTCTGTTTCATACAACATTTTAAGATAATAACTAGAATTATGAATACCAGCATTATACAAGGACTATTTTATTTCTATGAATTTCATACAATCTCCAAACCATATAGTAATAACACATACACACAAAAATAACCCAAAGAAGGTTAAGCATTACTTATTTTTGACAGTACTATTCATAATTTGATACATTATAATTTAATGTATCAAATAAGCCCAAAGAGCTTATTATCTATCTTTGTAAGGATGGGTATCCTTTTGATGTGTTCCAAGGGCCCATGTGGAAAACCCCAAAGTTAATTCAAGGTCAAGAAAAAGGTTTAATTTTACATTTTATTTTTGGGAAGTCTGTCCAAAATATCAAAGGTTTGAAACACTTGAGCAAAATATTTAACAGGATCATTGGTCACTGTGAATAGTAGTAATTTATTTAACCAAAATGATAATTAAAAGACTTCAAAGGCAAATATAGAGAGTTACATAGTTGTAGAAAAACTTAAGCTCTCTTAATAGAGAGGACTCAGTTCTCTTATGAAATCAAAAACCTAATAAAGACAGCATGAAGCACTGGACGTTATCTTAGTAAAATACAGAATATTTATCTCTTATACCAATTATCTAGAAGGGAAGGAAAAACCTATCATAATTTCCTGTTAGAAGCAGACCAAGAAAATGTTGTTTTAACAGAAACACCAAATTCTAGTTTTGTATCTGTGTACTTCCCACACTAATACTAAATTTTTAGAAAAACTTGAAAATAGTTCTTTCTAATCCTAGCTAGCCTGGTCACACATAAAATTTATTCCACATGATTCATCTTCTACATTGAAAGAACATACAAGAAAAAAAAGATTTATCTTCCACAAATTCTCTACAACTTTTTCATCCATTCAGTTTTTGCCCTGTACTTTACCTCTTCTCATTTTGGAAAAACCAGTTATTCTACTTCAGTACAAAAATTATTCCTTTTTCCTTAACAAAACATAACAGTCTCATATCTTATAGCTTTTCCTTATCAAAAGTAAATCTTACTTTCCTTGTATTCTTGCATATAGAATTGTTTCCATGATTAGTTCTAGTAATTTTACTTACATGTATTAATCAGAATTCTTAATCTTCAGTGACTTTAATTTCCAGTGAACATTAGGAAGCAAGCAGTTGTGAACAGTCTGTCACACCAGCAATCTGTAAATTGGCAAATGTATGATCAGTTTCTAGAAGCACATCCTTTCTCATAGTAGAATTTGTCAGTGTGTCATAGAAGATATTTACTAACATTCCCAAATATCCTTAGTCTCTCTGCAATAAGAACCTGTAGAGGAGGCAAAATTGCATGTCTATCCTCCTAATGGTTTGTTTTTGTTTGTTTGTTTGCTAGGCCTGAGAATTAAATTGTTGCTATTACAGTTTACCCTCAGCCTCAACTTCTCATTCTTGATAAGAATGTCAAAACTTCCTGGTGCAGAAAGAATAGTTTTTACATGAGAACTTCATCTTACATCCATTTAACTCACTTTTTTAACAATTTCACTTGGATTGTTGTAAAGGTTAAATATTAAGCAGCTAGTCATCATCTTATTTTTCTTGCTGATAAATTTTGTAATATAGACATAAAATAAATTTATTTTATTGGTAACCCTAGGTAGAAAAAGTCATGCATCTGTATTATATTTAGTACAGAAAAATCTGAAGACATGCCTATTTTAATTAAACCAACAGTATCCTAATTTATCAAAGATTACCCAAATCATGTGAACTTGAAAACTACTTGGGTTAGTTCTTATTTTTCTGAACAAATACTTCATTTATGTAAACACTTATTTTTCTTAAAGTCAATTAGAGTTATTTTACAACTTAATTTAGCAATATCATAAGTAGATAGAAAAATCACACATATATATTATATATAGAGACATATGTAAACCTATAGACAGAAACAGATCTTGCAGCTTTCATTCTAAAATTTTAGCCATGTGCAATAATACAAGCTCACTAATTTATTAAAGAATATCTGGATCTAGGCTTGGAACAGTGGTTCATGCATGTAATCCCAGCACTTTGAGAGGTTGAGGCAGGAGGATCACTTGAGACCAGGAGTTCAAAACAGCCTGGGCAACATGGCAAGACCCTATCTCTACAAACGAATTTTTAAAATTACACAATTTGTTTAAAAGAACATCTGAATCCAAATATTTTCTGGTCATTAAAACTAGGATTTTTTGCCCAATGGCTAAAGTTTTTGACTAATATTTATGAAAAATACTTTTAAGATGTTTTTCATTTGCCTTCTGTAAGGAACATTTTAAAGAATCTTTGATCCATTTAATCTTTTAGATGCCTTTTTGTACCACTTACAGAAGGCATTCTTTTTTTTTTTTTTTTTTTTTTTTTTTTTTGGCTTTTTGCATTTGTTTTCTAATGCACTTTGCAAGTGAACAATTTTATCTAGATTAAAAGATCCCCACTGTAGTCACTAGTAAAGTTAACCCATCTTCCCCAAAATATACAGGTTCTGGGCCCAGAATTTGTGTACATAAATGTAGCCAGTATTGCAGAAAGTGGAGTCTCAGAATCCTAGAATCCCAGACTCCTTTTTTATTTGAAAGGTACCTACTAAAGACCTCTAACTAGATCCAATCTAGTTAATTATTAAGTTCAGTTTGATCCTAGACCTAGTCGACTAAAAAGTGCTCAAATAAAGTTGGAGAGTTTATAACAAAACTCCACGGAACTCAAATTCAGGACAGAATTCACCCATGACTCCAGTTGTTACAAGAGATCAATGGGCACAATGAGCCGTGGTGAGTATTTTTACTTTGTCACTCAGTGCTCCTGGGGGTCCCTGAAGGTCTACTCCAAATCCAACTTCTGACACCAATTGTCCAAAGAAAAGCTGTAGACAAATTAAATTTAGCAGAGTTTATTTTAACAAAGAAAAAAAGTATTAATCAGGCAGCTCCCTGAACCAATAAAGGTCCAGAATACTTCACCCAGCAAGCCCCAGCAGGCAGTATTTATAGACAGAAAAAGGAAGTTATATACAGAAAGAGCCTGATTGGTCACAGCACAGCATTTGCCTTATTTGGACATGTCTGAGAAGTTTTCACCTGTGATTGGCTGAAAGTTCAGCTACTATAATTGGGCAAAACTCAATTACAAATATGCACTCTCAAGTTAGGTCATAGTTTGTTTACATTTTAAGTTAGAATATAGTTTCCTACAGAGGCATCTTTAGGCCAATTTAATTAACTAATTAAATTTATTGATTTAACTTATTAGATTAATAATTTATTAATTTTAACAATACAGTAATAACAATTAAACTTTGCCACCAAATCATTACTATAAGTCACTGGATCATTTTAGGTGTAGAAGGGAATGAACAGAATGCTCTTAGAAAAGAAAACAGAGGCTCAGAGAAATCAAGACACTGCCCAGGGTTACATGACCAGTCAAGTCTTCTTAATATTGTCTATTGCTGCTTCTACTACCAGTCCAAACAAACCATTGCAAGAACTGGCTACTCAAATCATGTAGATGACAGCTGTATATCTAAAATTTGTGCTTTAATACTTAGGTTTACATCTGTATGCTCCACATATTCTGGGAGAAGGATTTTAATTATAACTAGTAAAAAGAGTTTTATTGTTAGACATCCCTACACTTTGAGCTGCTGGCTAATAGAGTAATTGATTATTAAAGAGCAACAGTTTCTCTTGATGTTGATTTATTTCAAGTTTTAGCAACCTAAGTAACCTAGATAAAATACTAAAAGCCACTATACATTATAAACAATTCATTTTATTTAATTATATTTAATTCTGACAACCTCTTTTATGTATCAGGAAACTCAGAGACTCCGAGTGATGTGGTTTGGCTGTGTCCCCACCCAAATCTCATATCGAATTGTAATCCAAATTGTAATCTCCACATGTTGAGGGAGGCACCTGATGGGAGGTGATTGGATCATGGGGATGGTTCCCCAATGCTATTTTTGTGAGAGTGAGTGAGTTCTCACAGATCTTGTTGTTTCATATGTGTCTGGTGCTTCCCCCTTCTCTCTCTGTTGCGGGAAGTCACGGACCCCAAATGGAGGGACCGGCTGAAGCCATGGCAGAGGAACATAAATTGTGAAGATTTCATGGACATTTATCACTTCCCCAATAAATACTCTTATAATTTCCTATGCCTGTCTTCACTTTAATCCCTTAATCCAGTCATCTTTGTAAACTGAGGATGTATGTTGCCTCAGGACCCTGTGATGATTGTGTTAACTGTACAAATTGTTTGTAAAACATGTGTGCTTGAACAATATGAAATCTGAGCATCCTAAAAAAGAACAAGACAACAGTGATTTTCAGGGAACAAGGGAGATAACCATAAGGTCTGACTGCCTGCAGGGCCGGAAAGAACAGCGTCATATTTCTCTTCTTGCAGAAAGTGAACAGGAGAAATATTGCTTAATTCTTTTCCCAGCAAGGAATAACCCTGGGAAAGGAATGCATTCCCAGGGGGAGATCTCTAAAATGACCGCTCTGGGAGTGTCTGTCTTATGCAGTTGAAGATAAGGGATGAAATACAGCAGTCTCCTGCAGTGCCCTCAGGCTTGCTAGGATTAGGAAATTCCAGCCTGACGAATTCTAGTCAGACCGGTTGTCTGCTCTCAAACCCTGTTTCCTGTTACTATGTTTATCGATGACAATGCATGCCCAGTGGGACATGGAACCTCATCAGTAATTCTAATTTTGCCCTGGCCTTATGATCTTGCTCTGCCATTTGCCTTGTGATCTTTTATTGCCCTATGAAGCATGTGATCTCTGTGACCCACTCCCTATTCATACACCCCTCCCCTTTTGAAATCCCTAATAAAAACTTGCTGGTTTTGCAGCTCAGGTGGGCATCATGGAACCTGCCGACACGTGATGTCACCCCCGGAGGCCCAGCTGTAAAATTTCTCTCTTTGTACTGTTTCTTTTTATTTCTCAGACCTGCCAACAGTTAGGGAAAATAGAAAAGAACCTACATTGAAATACTGGGGGCTGGTTCCCCCAATATCTCTCTTTCCTGCCACCATGTATCCTGCTACCATGTAAGATGTACCTTGCTTCCCCTTCACCCTCTGCCTGGGTTGTAGGTTTCCTGAGGTTTCCCCAGCCATGTGGAACTGTGAGTTAATTAAACCTTTATACATTACCCAGTCTCAGGTAGTATCTTTATAGCAGTGTAAAAATGAACTAATACACAGAGTAAACAACTTTCCCAAGTTATATGACTTACAAGTGGGCCCAGATGGGTTTTACTGCCAGGACTGTCTGACTCTCACCCCCGTGCTAAATGCTGGCATATAGGATGGTTAAACTGTTTTTTTAAATCATGTTTTATCTCTGCATTCTTCAGTGTGTGTCTTATATCCCAGATGGAATATTATGTTAATGTTTTGTTCCCTCTTTATATACAAAAATTACAAGTGATCCTCAACAATATTGAAAAGTTGATGAACTACAAATTGTCAAGTAAATTTCAGAAATGATTTTAAGATGGGTGTGGTGGTGCCCGACTGCAGTCACGGCTAGTTGTGAGGCTGAGGTAAGAGGATCACCTGAGCCCAGTGAGGCCAAGGCTGCAGTAAGCCATGCTTGCTCCACTGCATTCCAGCCTGGACAAGAGAATGAGACCCTGTTTCCCCCTCAAAGAATGGTTTTAATTTGTTTGTGTCCACATTAATAAATATTGTAATGATTTAGGTATTAAGGCATCTGTATAAAAAAGGGAACTGCATTTGTTCAGTAAAAATATCCTCATAAGTGCCTGAAGAAAAAAGTAGATACTTTGAAGGACCTTGTTTTGGGTGGAACTGCATTCCTCAGGATAACAGAAAGAATGTTCAAGTAATTTAGAAGAGGAATGAAGGAAAGAAATTAAGAACAAAAAGAAAGAATAGAGAGAGTGGGATAACAGAATGCTGTGTGGGTTCAATGTGACATCTCCCTGTGGCCCTTTGAATATTCAGTAAAGTTATTAAACACAAAAAAAATATGTAGTGGAGGTGGACTTTTTGTGGAATTGAAAAGGAGCTAAGCTCTATACATAGATTGGTATAAGGCAAAACAATAACAGCACAATCTGAGGCCAATGCAGACATGGAGAAAGCCATGAAGTAGTAAGCAGAAGTCATGGGGAGAGCT